CTACATAGTAATAGACAAGTGATTAATAGTATGAGATAACATTTGTGCTACCAAATATGTCAAGTATTTTTGTGAACGAATTGGTTGTATTCAATATTTACTTGTCTATTACTATGTAGTAGTTAGTACTACATAGTAATAGACAAGTAAATATTCTATTCATAGTATGAGATAACATTTGTGCTACCAACACTTATTAATATTAATACTACGTAACACATACCGTACGTTTGGGCGAAACAAAATCTTTCATCTCAAGTACTGGTCGGATTTAGCTCGTTCTTTTCTTGTTCGCTCCGTATTAAAACTATATGGCATGGGCCGGAGTTTTAACAATGCTACAGTCAAGCCCGAGGAAAGCGCTGGCGCAGCGTTGCGCACGGTGGATCAACTGATTAAAATTTCCATGATTACAATGATCCGTTCTCGAAATTAAAAAATAGATAATACTAATACTGGTACTGAAATTATATACTTCGAAGTACAAGTCAGTTTCAATACAGTATTACTATTAGTAGTCAAACATAACATACTAGTATGTTTGACTACTAATAGTAATACTAGTCAAGCATAACATACTATTAATAGTATGTTTGACTACTAATAGTAATACTGTATTGAAACTGACTTGTATATAATTTCAGTACAGTACCAGTATTAGTACTGTCTATTTTTTAATTTCGAGAACTATTAGTAGTCAAACATAACATACTAGTATGTTATGTTTGACTACTAATAGTTCTCGAAATTAAAAAATAGACAGTACTAATACTGGTACTGTACTGAAATTATATACAAGTCAGTTTCAATACAGTATTACTATTAGTAGTCAAACATACTATTAATAGTATGTTATGCTTGACTAGTATTACTATTAGTAGTCAAACATACTAGTATGTTATGTTTGACTACTAATAGTAATACTGTATTGAAACTGACTTGTATATAATTTCAGTACCAGTATTGCTATTTATCTCACTCGACACTTCGAAAACACTTGATATTAATATGAGTGCGCTATCAATCACTCACATGCTGGTTGTTTCTTTAGGGATTGATTTGGTCCGAATTGCCTTGGAAAACCAAGTTTACCTCGTCTTGTCAGTCACAATTTGGCTGAATTGAAATGATATAGATCATTGTTCTAACTTTTAATTAGACGATGTGGATCGTCTTAGAGATCAAGTACTTGTTACTTTTGAAACAAATGGGGCTGGGTGCGATGGGCACAGACCAAAGTGTTCTTCATCAACATGGCGATGGTCATGGGGCCGACTCCACCGGGCACGGGGGTGATGGCACCGGCCACTTCCTTGGCACTGGCGTAATGCACGTCGCCGACTAGGCGGTACCTAAGGACATGTTTGGATTGAGTACTTGAGTGCATGTTTTGTCGATAGGTACTACGCCATACCCAGCCTTCTTGGTTGCGTCATCTACAGAGTTGATGCCAACGTCGATGACCGTGGCGCCAGGCTTGATCCAGCTGCCTTGCACCATTTCGGCGCGACCGCAAGCGGCGACCAAGATGTCGGCTTCGCGCACGATACCCTCCAAGTTAACGCTCTTCGAGTGGCAGATAGTAACGGTGGCGTTGCGGCCCAGCAATAGGTGCGCCACGGGGATGCCCACGATGCGGGATCGACCGACGACCACCGCTCGCTTTCCTTCGATTTCAATGCCTAGACCAGACACATTAGTAGTCGATACGGTGGTTAAAATCATTGCATTTTGCAAAGTGACACGTTGAAGTCGTACCATGACGGTCCAAGAGTTCGATGCAGCCCGCGGGGGTGCACGCAACGACGTATGGAAGCTTGGAGCTCACAGACAGCGCCGCCACGTTCATGGGGTGCAACCCGTCGACATCCTTGCCAGGCACGATGTGGTTGAGCACGGATTCTTCGTCGAGGTGGCGAGGAAGTGGCAATTGGACCAAAATGCCATGCACGGTGGGGTCATTGTTCAAAGCATCGATTTCATGAATGAGGGCGTCGTACGCAATGTCCACGGGCAAGTTGATGCTCACGGTGCGGTACCCCAGTTGTTCGCACGCCTTCTTCTTCATGCGGACGTACGTGGCGGAATCCTTGCGGTCGCCAACAAGGACTACCGCAAGGCCAGGCACGACGTAGTCGGCATGTTCGGCGACATTTTTCTGGACTTCGGCCTTGAGTTCTTCGAGGATCGTGGCGCCAATAGCCTTTCCGTCAATGATGATCGTCATGATGGCGAAATGTGAATTTGAATCGACCACTTCCACGTGTTTTATCCGGATTCGACCGTGTGTTATATCCGGATCCCAAAATATGCATAATTGCATGTCGCCCAGTGCTTGTTTTTATATGGATATTCGGACGGAGGTGCAAATTTTATTCGTTTGCCCGGCATTGTGAGTATAACTACCCAAAATATATATGCATAATTTTGGCAGAATGGGTGGCAGGCACATCCAGCACAACACCGTCGAATGATGTGCCATGTGACTTCTTAGTGCACATGCTCCTTGCGCGGTTGGCGGACAGGTGGGTAGATACCGGTACAGCTCACATAATGTATAGTGCACTTCTGTGCGATACCGTACTGTATTTGATGGATGCATAAATCTTAATTAACAGTAAGCTTACACGAAACACATTCGATTAACGTTATCGTAAATCGATTAACAGGTACCGGTAGTAGTTGTTGTGTGCGACCAAACACTTGTCCAAGGCTTTCCAAGCAAGTTCGACACATACACACGAATTCGACCGAGTTTTTCGTGGCTCGAATGGCGTTCCACATGCGGTGAACAGCCAACCAACCAAGGTCGACTAGCACAACAGCCATTGAACCACTGGAACGTGGTCGTGTTGTAAGGCGTAGAACTTGGGCCTATTTGGCCGGTCCAACAAATCTCGGAGCAGCAATGCAGGCAAGCCTAAAAACGAAATCACAACTTCAATTAGCCCATGGCTGCAGCATTCATCAGTGCGGCCTTGGGAAATCCTTCGGATCGGTTGGCATGCAGCCACCTCTGGAAGGCATGACGATGCATTCCCTGTCAATGGCGTTGGTTGGTCAACCACGTTCAAGCCTTGGGTTGTACAGCAGTACAACCTTCGTTGAGATGAGCATGGAGCTATTGGACGATGTGCAGCGGTGCTATTGTGCAACTTAACTGTAAAGAGTGAGCCCCGCTCACTACAGCACAGTCTGTATGTATGTCAGTACCACGGCAGCCCGACATCAACGTGTGTGTGTGGTGGCCACAAAGCAAGCTGTGAATACACACAGTGCTACTTACATTAATTTAGGATTCAAACGATTCTATCTACTTGGCACCCCTTCGAACACCATTCAAGGAGCGTGCCAACTGGAAGTACTCGGCTTGGTTGAGGCCTCGACTGCTGCTGTGTTGTTGCGTGGTAGTCATCGATGGTCGCATAATGACGACGTCTTCGCGCAAGATGGACTTGGGCGACGGCGTGTCGTAAAACGACCCTCCATCTTCTTCCGACACGGCCGCGTGGTATAGGCGCAGTTGCGGCTGTTGTTCGTTCGGGTCGCCTGGCGTCATTTTGGCCGAATAGCGTCCGCCACTGACGAGGACGACGTCGTCCACACTGGTGGTTTCGTGGCTTCGAAACGTGCTGAGCACGTTCGAGTCGGCGACTGACAACGTTTGCTCGCTGCGGATGGACCCGAGAATGTTCGAGGACGAATCGGTGATGGAAGACCCGTCGTCGTCGATGGAGCCCAAGCCAGTGCGCCGCAGCTCCGACGATCGGAGGGTGGGCCAAGGGTAAGCTGTTGAATTGGACCCCGTCAGCTGCAGCGTCATGGTCGCAGACGGAATCCCAGCCGTGCCAGTGGACGTAAGGCCCGCGACCGAATTCGCAAGCCGCTGAGTCTTGAGGTCTTGGAGAAGTAGAGTCGACAGGAACGGCCGACCGCCTGCACGAGACGTTGACAGAGACTCGTGGGGCACTTCGCAATCTTCTTTCGTGCCGACGGGGTTATAGTATCGACGGTATACACATATCATGATTCCAATCACCACCAAGAGGACAATCACGACAGTGATCACCACAATCACCATGGTCTCGTCGCCTGATGTAGCCTTTAAGTCTATGTCGTCATTGCACGATGTCAGTACAAAGGATAAGGCGGAGAAGATGGGTAGTTATAAGAGGAATGTACCACGAGAGTTGTTGGATGCTGCAGCTACGCGGCGAAGGATGGCAGGTTTGGCTACGGTTGCCAATGCAGCTAACATGACGAATACGAGCGAAGTTATGTATTGCTGCAAGTGCAAAGTGGAAATGGCCATGACAACATTATAATGATGAGTTTTGATCAACAGGTGTAGGTGCGTGTTCTACGACGCGACTCTCGGTTCGAGTAGAGGTGGGCATCGTTTCAGAATTCGAACATGTTTGCTGCAAATTGCAGTGCAAATCAGGGAAAGTCGATGACTAGCATAATGGCTCACCATCGAACATTCTGTGGGGATATGTTATGTATATTAATATCAGTAGTACTTAAACGGTGATTCGTTTGGATGGTGGGAAATAAACCGAGTGATTGGATTGTCCAACTCATGCAAGACACAAAGTTGTTCTTCGAACCACATTCTACAATGTTGGGATTCACCCACATCGCCGCCTCCAGGTCGACAGAACTGGCATAATGGTCTGTGTCTGACTGATACTATGTACTAGTTCAGTAGTGTTATACGGCTTGAAATCGAGTGTTTTAGACATCAAACAGGGCATGCCAGCCAAAACGAAGTGGTTTCACAGTGAATTCGAATTAATGCACCGGCTAAATTTTGCAGTTGCCGGTATACTACACCATTAACTGTAAGTTCAGGTTTTTCCGGTATATTTCGTCTGACGCAGCCATGTGCGTTATGTTCGCCGAACATTCGATATATTTCGTCCATACCCTACATCATTGCAGTATATTTCGACTAATGCCCGGTATATGTCGCCCTAAAGGCGGTATAATTCTCACGTTGTTCAATATAGCGTTATTTCAAATATGTACCATCTATTTCGAGTTTAGATGCAAATCAAGTATATCGCAGGTGGTGGATAGCGTTTTGATGTCTAAATCATAGATATGAGTCGATGTGAATCCTCTACAACCTTACACCTTGTAGCTGAAGTTGTTCTACGGTCTAGCCGAAAATGCGGGTGACATGGAAGTTAGGGCCTGATGAAGCAGCGCGTTGATTTGCTTCTAAAATCGAAATAAATGGAACATCATTTGAAATATATTGAACAATGTGAGAAACATACCGCCTTTAGGGCGACATATACCGGGCATTAGTCGAAATATACTGCAACGATGTAGGGTATGGACGAAATATATCGAATGTTTGGCGAACTTGACACACATGGTGTGAATCAGTTGTGCATTGGACGAAATATACCGAGAAAAACCTGAACTTAAATGAAAAATGGTGTAACATTAGTACAATATTGTGGATTCGGTTCAAATTTCCAGATCGAATCACGAATCGACGCTATTGGCTAATCCAATAATGAGTGGATTTGATTCGCTCTTACAGAAAGGACAAGTATATTCAACCAATCAGAACTCCAGCGTGATTCTATATTGATTTGACAAACCACTCAAATTTTGGAAGTTTATACTACCTCTGTCCGGAAGTAAATGCCTCAAGCAGAATATTTGGGAAATAAGCATGGTAATGGTCAAATTATTTGAAGCTGAAAGTGCATATGTAATTCGTTCAAGAAGGAGCTAACCAATCAAAGTGATTCGCACCAAACTTCACCCAATCATGAAGAACTAAGCACGTTTAAACGATCAATACTTTACTCCATATGTAATGGACAATTCAATACGCAGTGAAACCCGGACATCCGGATACATCAATTATCCGTATGAATGGACCAACAACCACATCAAATTCAAAATGGGAGCGAAGAGAAACCTCACGAACGATGACCGTGCCGCAGTCCTGCAGCAACTTCTTGCACGACTGCTTGAACACAAGCACCTCCCCCGTGAAGCTTTCGTTGACGTTGCTGCACACTTTGGGTTCAATCGGAGCACGATACGCCGGATCTGGAAGCGTGCTGGTGTTCACCTTTCCAACGCTACGCGCCCATGCAACAGCGTTGCGTCACGAAAGAAGGGTCACTGTGGACGGAACTTGAAACACAATGACGTTGCGGCCCGGCTCCAACGAGTACCCAAGGCTCGTCGCACGACTTTCTGATTCATCGCCGCTGCCGTGGACATGCCCCGGTCAACCCTGCACGAGTACTACCGCCGCGGCATCTTCGTCAAATACACTAGCCACATCTAGCCACAACTTTGTGATGCCAACAAGGCCGTTCGAGTGAAGTGGTCTATGGACTTCGTACACTCCGTCAACACCACTGACTTTATCTTCGACTCCATGATAGACTACGTGCATGTGGACGAAAAATGGTTCTTTGCGACGCGCGTCAACAAGACATACTACCTTGCACCAAACGATGAACTGTCTCATCGTACGTGCAAGTCTAAACGGTTCATCACCAAGGTTTTGTTCCTCTCGGCGGTTGCTCGGCCGCGGTGGGACAACGAGAAATCGGCTTTGTTCGATGGAAAGATTGGTACGTGGCACTTCACCGAGCAAGTACCGGCCATTCCAGCAAGTCGCAATCGGCCAGCCGGGACGTTGGAGACCAAACCCATCAGTGTGACACGCGATGTGTACCAAGCAATGCTGATTGACCATGTCATTCCTGCAATCAAGGCCAAGTGGCCTGTGGGCGAATCGAGACGTATCATCATCCAGCAAGACAATGCCAGGCCGCATGTTCCTCCACTTGACAGCAGGATTGTTGACGCCTGCACAAGTGACGGATGGATGATGGAGCTCAAGTATCAGCCGCCCAACTCACCCGACTTGAACGTGCTTGACCTCGGGTTTTTTCGAGCGATCCAGTCGCTTCAAGAGAAGAACTACTCGCGCAACGTAGACGACATCGTTGCTGCGACGGACGAGGCGTGGAAGGAAGTAGACCCCATGACACTGAATGCTAATTTTCTGACTCTACAATATTGCATGCATAAAGTCATCCGTGTAGCTGGACACAACAATTACAGGATCCCTCACATGAAGAAAGCGTCACTTGCCTTGAAGGGCATGTTGCCTGAAGTTGTCGCCACCGACGTCGATGTCCTCAATGATGGGTTTGCACTCCTCAGGGCCACCGATATGGCGAAAAAGGTCGACGACTTATCAGCTGAAGTGGCGGAGGCATTGGACATGTGCGAATTTAGCTCTCAAATGGAGAAGCTTGCTGTCGATGGCGAGCTAGATGAAGATATTGAGGGGACCTGGCGAACCTCTTAGGACTACTTGAGCATTGAATATACTGGACTACTACATATTATTGTTAGATTTTGTATTTTCGTTTACTACTACGTAGTAAATAGTATGAAATTTTTATATCGAAGAGATAGTGGTACTGTTGGGGTTTATTCACGGAAATCAGATTTTCCGTTTGAGGCAAATATTTCCGGACAGAGGTAGTAGCGAATTCACAATAGTAACGTTACATAGGTAGTCAATTGTTCACAGCTCAGCAATCAAGTCAATTGTATAACCAGGATATGATGAGCCAGTTTGCATTAGCCCCTCGCCCTCACAGAACAAGGATGCTATTGACTGTAACTACCAATAATAACAGTGGGTGGGGCCAACTTTATTACGGTTCAACCTCCACATTGACTCCATACAAATACTGTATACAGTATTTGTACACTGTAGTATAACGTTATGGTGATGTCCACCGCAATCGGTTGCAAAATGTGAGTTGATTAATTACAATTCCACATTGATACATTGGAAGGCTTCCAAAAATACCCCAGACTGCCTTCTCAGACATGTCTTTATTCATGTCGGAGTGCCCCCTCAGACTGCAGTGTAAGCATGAATATATTTTGCAAGCTCACCAAAAATATACTTAGATTTTACATTCACAGTCAAAATAGAGCCGTTTCGTTGGTTTTATTTGCTCATCCGGCGTGCTACTGCTCTACTGCACACCGGAGGCGACGAAACGACGCCGCATCATACGACTCTTGCTCATGTGATCTTTGCTTCGTGAACGCAACCTTCTACATTCATTGGCCCTCTTAGACGACCAGCTTGACAGTCCTTGGTACAAGATGTATTACAGCCGTCATATGACGTCGTTCATCGCAGCGGTTTCAATTCCACCCGACACCCTCGACAACCTACTTGCCGTTTTCAGTCAGCACTACGCAGTTCAATCTGGCTTTGGTCGTCGTGGCCGTCCTGGGTGGGTACAGTTCAAACACTGCGTGCTTGCAATGGTGTTGCAATTCTACACCCATGCGAACGACGCAAAGACAATGTGTGAGATATTCGCAGTGCCAACCATAACAATATACTACTACTAGTACTACAGTTAGTAGTAGCACTGAACTTGCCGAGGATGTCAGGAGATAACTGCCTCTGAAGTCAAACAGCACGCATAAAGACGTGACACGGTTGCTGGCATGCATGCAATAAAACAATTTACTACAATACTTCAGTTTGTACTACGACTCGCTCGTTACTACTGTATCGCGATCACTTCTCTTTACTGCCACTGGATGGGTATTCTGTGTGTCACCATCCAGTCCGACTGTTAAAGAACAAAGTACATTCCGTCATTGGACGGTAGATAGTGCTGCATCCAAGCACTCCACCTATCACCGCGAGTGGTTCGTCACTTACGAAGTATTCTCGTCGTTTGCTCGTGCAGCCGACGGCCACCAACTTCAAGTAGTCGGACGCGGCACAGTTCGACTCGAAGTCGCTGGCACCAACGGCAACACATTAGCGACTTATCTGCAGGATATTTACCACATCCCAGATGTACATTTCAACCTGTTCTCGGTGGGTCGTGCACTGCACATGGATAGACACCAAATTATTGACATCACTCCTCGGGAGTGGACTCTTGCCACGTATGATGGCAAGCTCACAGCCACCTACGATGAACATACCGCGCTGTAGGTTATTTCGACGCAGCCGTCGCCACGCGTACGCAACCCCACATCGACCGTCCTCGTTACGACGTCAAGTGCGCAGGGCACCATGAAATGCACCATCAACTGGGCCATCCAAGTCATGACAACCTACGCATATTGCGGCATCATTCGAATCTGTTTGCGTTTTCCATCTCTCGACAGTCCATCACCGCCCATGCCTCGTCCGACACATGATTAAGTTCGAAGGCCAAAGTACTTCCCTTTTCATGCAACAAACTACCCAAGTCGTCAAGGCCGCTGGAAGGAGTGTACTCCGATGTGTGGGGCCTAATCAATATCCTCTCTATCTCTGGGGGTCGATATTTCGTAACGTTCATCGACGATTTTACCTGATACACTTTTGTGTACATCATGCAAAAGCGCACAGACTTGTACGAGAAGTACAGCACGTTCTGTCGTGACGCACACCAACGTTACAGCGCCAACGTAAGCGAGCTTTTCTACCATCACTCACCACCCAGTGCGTTTCGAGGAAATCCAAGCGCTCCAAATGGACAACGCCAAGGAGTACGTCAAACTCGGGACACGATTCAAAGCGAATACGGCACCCGTTTGACGTACACGGATGCCTATACCCCGACCCAGAACCATGTGGCCGAGCGGCGTATGGGCATCATCGTCACCATGGCTCGCTCCATGCTACTGCATGGTAATTTACCACAGTTCGTGTGGGGCGAAGCCATCTCCCACGCAGTGTTCCTCCTGAACATGCTGTCGTCCACCACCATCAGAGGGGACACTCCGTATCATCTACGACACCAGAGCCATCCAGACTACGCACGTATTTGGCTGTGTAGCGTATGCATACGTCAACCTTCCTATGCGTGTGAACAATTTGTCTCCCCGATCATGATGCTGCCGACTACCGAGCGGTACGGCTTGTCCGTCGTGGACTGGCGTTCGGCATCGTTCTGAGGACACATCGACTCAGACAGCTTGAGATTGCACTCCATTGGAGTGGGGGCTGGTTTTGAATTCTCCATGCTAAACCTCTTGAGAATCGAGGTTGCATATTGGAATTGATGCATTATGAGAGTTCGAGCAGAACGATCTCGAACAATTTTGAAATCCAAGAATAAACTTGAGAGCCCCAAGGTCGTGCATTCGAAAACGCGATGACAGACCATGTTTGATGGTGCGCATCATGTCCGGCGAAGGAGTCATAACTACCAGGTCGTCAACGTAGACGCCGATGTAAACGGCTTGGCCGTCCATCTGCTTGGTGAAGACGCCGCGATCTTTGACGAGCTGTGTGTTCCCTTTCTGGAGCAAGTAGGTGGCTAGTGTCTGGTACCACAAGCGTGGGGCCTGCTTGACACCATAGACACTGCAAAGGACTTGGAAGGCATCGCGGTGTTAAATCCAGGTGGATGTTTGACGTAGACTTCGCAGTCGATTTCTCCGTTGGGAAAAGCTGTGATGACGTCCATTGCATCGATCTCGTAGTTGAGAGACGCACCGAGAGTAAGCATCGTTCGGAGGATTTCTTTTGCAATGACCGGGGGAGTAACTCTCCTCGTAATCAACACCTTGGATTTGGGTGTGCCCTTGGATCACAAGGTGCGCCATGCAGCGAGCGACGCGTCTCGTAGCATCAGTGACCGAGTCATCGTATTAGATTTTGAACACCCAACGCATGCCAGGTGGAGTCGCATCTGGAGGCAAGGTGGCCGGGACGAACGACCCGTTGGCCTCATGGGCTGCCAGGTCGAGCATCATGGCTTCAAGCCATTACGCTTTGGCTGGCGATTTCATCGCCTTTTTGTAGGTCGCAGGCTCCTCCGAAGGAGTCTTGTCCTTGAGGGCGAGGAGGATATGTTTCGGTGTCGACAGAGATTGAGCGCCTGAGGCGTCCTCAATATACGACATAAGCAACTCAGCTGGACCGTCGTGTGGACGTGTCCGCCGTGTCCAGTGTGGTAGACGTCGATGAGACGACGTACTGTACGACGTGTTCTATCGCTGCTCGAGAACGTGAGGGCCAGGCGGAATTGCGAGCAACTGGGTTGTCGTAGGTGACGACATTGGAGTGGAGGTGGATGACGTTCTCACACACACATGCCAGAGTCGGTACTTCTCGTGGAGCGAGGTACATGGTACGGGGAAGAAATATTCCTCCATTGTGTTGAAGTTCAACGTTCGACGACACTTGGGCGTCGGAGTTGCGGACGACAGGTGTGAGGGGTGGCGAATGATGCCACCCAAACGGGCAGGTGGAGTGATGTGTGATGTCTGGTACATCAAGTACGACAGGGATTTGCCATACTGTACCGGTCGATCGACGAAGTAGATCCTCTCCAAGCGTGGGTAGAGGTGTGGTCGTATCAGCCTCCCCAAGTGTGAGCAACTGCTGATGCCACGGCCTCCCCAAATGAGGGTAGACGTGCTGTCGATGAGAAAGCCTCCCCAAACGAGGGTAGAAGTGTTGGTGTCGTGGACGACGCAGCCTCCCCAAGGGGTGAAGACATACTTGGTTGAAGGGGTGGTGGACTTTGGTCCGCGGTGAAACAGTTCCGCTGGGGATGTTTACTTCGAATACGTTTTACATCCTCGACTGATTTCAGGAGGGGGACTGATGCTCAACGAACGTCACATTCACTTTGTGTGTGTCGATATTCAATAGCTTGAATCCTCAAGATGTCTCGGGTAAGCCAATGTACATGCACAGCATACCACCTCATGTTTAGCACTCCACCCGACCTCGCGTACGTCGTCCAACAACTGAGCCAGTTCCTCACGAACTCCGGCCCTGCCCACTGACAGGCGGCCAAGCGTGCTCTCCGGTACATCAGAGGAACGATTGACTACGGTCTCGTCCTCGGCGGTGCGTACGATCACTCCGCTCCACTTCATGCATATGCGGACAGTCACTACGGTAATTGCATTGATACCTGCCGCTGCCTCGCAGGCTTCGTGATATTTTACCGGAACTGTGCGATCTATTGGATCGCTAAGAGGCTACAGAGCATCGTCCTCTCGACAACTGAGGCAGAACTCATGATTCTGTGCACATTTGCACAAGAATGACTGTACATTAAGCAGGCAGTTAGTGAGATGGGATATCCCAGCACCACATCGATTCCTCTTCACGAGGACAATCAGAGCGCCATCCAGATCGTGAACAACTCTGGACACCATGGGCGTACTAAACATATTGATGCACGCTACCATTTCATCAACGACCGTATAGAACAACAGATGTTTAGTCTTGTTTACACAGATACGCGACATCAAGTCGCTGATATCTTTACCAAACCACTTGATGTGACAACGTTCTGCTCCCTGCGCAGTCAACTAAGGGTGAGGCAGCTGCCGCCCGACAGCATCCTCCGACGCGAGCCAGGGGGCACAACTCCAGCCGCTCGGCCCGTGCCTGTGCCGTCAGAACTAATTCACTCTCAGTTCTTCCTCCACCCACTCACGTGTCTGCTGCTGCTTCATGCCCTTCCAACTCTATTAACAGTTGTATCATATATTTTTTCAACCGCATACTGCAAAATCGATTCGAAACAGGGGCCCTCAGCAGAATTAAATGTCTTAGGAGGATGGATTAAAGAACGGCCTAAGCCAATCAAATCACGTTCGGGCACATTTCTGCCAAACAAAACGTTTGTCCCCTCCACATTTTGGCAAAATATACTGAGTATATATACTTATATTTGTAACCCATAGTGTGTACAAGCTTACACTGTAACTTGGATCAAGTGGATTCGAACCATTGTTGTGTTCATTTTTTGTTGATTTGAATTTTTCCGGATAATATCCGGAGCCGTACCTTCGTGGCAGCCCATCATGAATGGAAATCGTACTTAAGGAAATGAGTCATCCCGATTTATTAATATCAAGCACAATTCTATTTGCGGTACGCAGCCAAACAACAGCAATCGTAGCCGCCACCAACGCCGCCTTCACCTCGTCAAGAGTCCACAGTTTATGTCTGCCAAGCGCACCTGGACATTCAACAAGAAATACGCCACATTGACCTCCGCCCACTAAGTTCAATACCTCCACTTCAATCAACATCCCTCTGACACACTTTCACAACTCAATTTCCCATGTCCCTTCCCCGTCCCAAACCCACCAAGCCCCATGCGCAAGCGTACGCCCTCTCCAACCATCAATACACCCAAGTCACTCTTGCCGACCCACCGTCCTCTATTGCCACCGTTCGTCGCACCCAAGCCCTGATCATCGGTTGTGGCGCCGCCGGTTCGGCCGCGGCCCTCCGCCTCGCCCGCGAAGGCGTCCATGTGATCATGCTGGGTGCCGCCATCAACCCCGCCGACTGCAACAGCTACTGGGCCCAAGGCGGCATCATCTACAAGTCCAAGGACGACTCGCCCGAGCTGCTTTCGTCCGACATCCATCGCGCCGGCGCGGGGGTGTGCCACGACCCAGCCGTGCGTAAAGTCGCGACGGAAGGGCCAGCGTGCGTAGAGGATTTGCTCTTGGACGTGTCCAAGGTCCCGTTTGAGCGCCACGCCGACACGGGCGAGCTCAAGCTGACGTTGGAAGCCTCGCACAACCGCGCGCGCATCCTGTTCAAGGCCGACCACACGGGCCAAGCTATCACGACCGCCATGCAAGCGGCGGTGATGAATCACCCCAACATTGAGCTGTGCACGGGTCGAGTGGTGTACGACTTGGCCCTGAACGACGAGAACGAGTGCGTCGGCGCGTTGCTCGTGGACCGGTCGACGTCGGCGGTGGAGCTCATCCACGCCGACATGACGCTCTTGGCCACGGGGGGGCTCGGGGACTTGTACGCCAACACGTCCAACCCCGAAGGCGCGCGCGGCGAGGGCGTGGCCGTGGCTGCCCGGGCCGGCGCCAAGCTGAAGAACATGCAGTACGTCCAGTTCCATCCCACGACGCTGTGTCTGCCGGGGGAGCGGCGTTTCTTGCTCACGGAGGCGCTGCGGGGCGAAGGCGCCAAGCTACGCAACGGCAGCGGTCACTTGTTTGCGCGGGACTACCACGTGGACGGCGAGCTCGCGCCGCGCGACGTGGTGGCGCGTATGATCCTGAGCGAGATGGACAAGGAAGGCGAGAGCTGCATGTATCTGGACATTTCGCACATGCCGTCCGAGTGGCTCCAGAACCGGTTCCCGACCATTTACAAGCACTGCTTGGCGCGAGGCATCGACATGACCAAGGAGGCCATGCCGGTGGTGCCCGCGGCGCACTACCACTGCGGAGGCGTCCAAGTCGACTTGAGCGGCAAGACGTCCGTGCCTCGGCTGTACGCGGCGGGCGAAGTGAGCTGCACGGGGATGCACGGTGCCAACCGCCTCGCGTCGACGTCGCTGTTGGAGGCGTTGGTGTGGGGGTGTGCTGTGGCGACTGACTTTATGGCCACCACTTTGGTCGGGTCGGCGGTCGAGACGAATGCCGTGGTGCGCGTCCCGGCCGACAGTGCTGGCCTTGGCCGGCGTCCGTGGCAACCCGCCGACGAGGCTGCCGTGGCGACTATCTTGACGGAGCTGCAGCAAGCCATGTGGACGTTTGTGGGTGCCAAGCGGACGGCGGACGGGATGCTGCGTGGTATCAAGATTGTGGGTGCGCTGGAAACCAAGATGGACTTGCTGAGCGAATCGGTGACCGTGACGGCGCGCAGCATGGGCGTGCGCAATGCCGTCAAGACGGCCAAGTACATTGCCGAAGCCGCGCTGGCCAGCCCCATCTCGGTGGGTACCCACTACATTGTGAGCGACGACCCTGTCAGCGACTGCGCCAGCGAAAGCGACAACGAAGTCGAGTGGAAGAACTTGTGCGCGTAGATCGCGTTAACATCCTGCCTAATGATACATGTTTCGTCTCAAGTGTTTTGCGCTGTGCTCGGATGGATCGCTGCCAATATATGTAGCATCACCTTAACGGTGCCATATTTTGAACGAATTAGTGTACCGGTAGTACCATAACATAAATGACCAATTTATGATCACTTTTTCGGAGTGTAGTCCTCTTCGGTACCTATGATTTCTCCAGTACGCGTCTACAAAACTGCCGACGCCACGACGCTATTCGGCTTTGCGATACCTTTGCTGCTCTTCAAGTAGCACACTCCAAACGCAAACGAAAACGCCTTGCAATCGGCAGTCGAACGGCACACTGCACAGCAATCTTCCACCGCGTCAGCAAACGCACTGCCAATATCTGCACCGAAGTAATCCACCCCAGATTCCACCGCAGAGCACTTATACACTCGGCTTGAATAGACGCCACTGGTGAGGGAAGGGCTGGTGCGCTTGCCTTTAAGGTAGCAGATGTCGTTGAACCAGCTAAAAGCATTGCACTTGTCCATCGATTCACACGCCACGCAGCAGCTTTCGAGGGGGCCAGGAATAGCAGCGATGTCTTCCCCGTAAAAGTCTTTGTTGACTTCGATGGGGCTACACCTAGGCGGTGTAGGAGGAGACGCCGTGGCCATGGGGTTAGCCAATACAGCCGATTTGACCCCGACGCTGGCGACCTTCGTGCCCACATCCGATTTTAACCAGCAAGTGCCACCGTTGTCCGTTGTCCACACAAACAACTTGCATCCAGGCGTGATATCGCAGTCGCCACAGCACAAGGACACCTCGCTTCGTTGGGTGGAAGCGAGATGATAGCCAAAGTAGGCCACATTTTCTTCCACGACAGTGCATTTCGAAGGGCTGGGGGCGAAAGTCGGGGCGACGGTCAGGGCTTGCGTTTGGGTGCCACGTAGCGTTGCGACGACTGAGTCCTTGGGGAGGACATTCTTTACGCGCAACAAATTGACAATGTACGTCATCTTGATTGCATAGTTGGAGCCGTACGCAGTCGTAGAGGCCTTGCATCCCCCGCAGTTGTGCAGCCCAATGACGAGGTTGGTTGTGGCGCTCATCAGTGGCG